AGCCTGATTCTGAGCTAAAGAGAGAAAAATTAGAGGGCGGGAAACCCCCTGCGTAGGCGGGCACTCGGGTGTCCTCCAGCCCCGCCTCTGAGAGCACCGGGCGGCGCATGTTGCCTTCTGAGGGAGCGCTTGGTCCTCGCCGGCAGCTGGCTCCTGGGGGCATCCCCTCCCTACCCAAATGAAACTAATTAACGAAGCAGGTTATCTTCTCGACTGGCGCTCTGCTCACAACACTTTTCTATAAACCTGCAGTTGGCTTGGGATCCCTTGATTTCCAAAGAGACGTTTGGGCCACCCTCAGCTTTGAGAAACGCTTGCTGGAAGGAGGACGGGGCACACCAGCTGCTGAAAGCCACAAGGAAAAGGGGAAGGACTCAAAATGTTGCCTGACCCGTGGTCTTCCCCCCGTGTCTGGTGGCAGCAGACACCACAGCGGGGCTGGACTGGCCATGTGGCATGCCAGCAGCGTGGGCATGCTGCTGCAGCCCAGGGACCTCTCGCCACCACAGTGTAGACAGCTCACAAACCCTTCCACCATCTTCACAATTAATTTAAGTCTCAATCAAGCAATTAGAGCATGGAAGAGAGCCCAGCAAGTCTCCTCAGGACCTGTCCCGTGGGGATGCTGTGGTGGAACTCACGTACCCTTTGGCTTGCTCGAGCTGCTGGTGCTGTGGGGTAGTGGCCTCCCACCAGAAGCAGTCGTAGGGTGGTCAGCACTGGCATGAGGAGTGACCGCACCACCATCTATTTCACACGGAGGGGCTGTTAAAAAGGATATTCTAGTTGAGGGTGGGGAGTGGAGACAGCTTTTTTTTCTCAGCTATTTTGTTCATGAATGTACAAAATTTGTATTTCCTGGACCAAACCAGAAGACCAGTGCATCCATGATGCCGGGCAGTGAACCATGCAGCCGGCAGCGCTGCCCTGGGGCTTCCCACTGACTGCTCCTGGGGCGTGCCTCACCTGGTTTTGCTCCCCTGTTTGGGGACCCTCGTTGGTCTTCGGGGCCTCATTTCCCTGCCCAAGTAGAGCATGCAAACACCTCTTTGCCAAGTGCGTTGAGCCCCTGAGCTGCTGGGGGTGGGAGGATGGGTGCACTGTCAGCTAGAGATTGGGCCAAATTTACAGTTATAGTGAACTTTTTCCTTGCTACCTTGTTGAGTGGATTGGGTGGGTTATAATTGATCATGAGAGTCACCTGGTATTGTTTTTACTTCTCTAAGTGGCAGCATGTGCTTTGGGGAGCAGGGTGTGTTCCTGGCTTCACATATTGTTGGTGATGCTCCACGTATATCCTTTAGCCTGGGCAAAAGCCTGTCTGTAGCAGAGGAGGGTGTAGTGGTGTTCACTGCGGTAGTAT